CTTCACCTTCTCCTTCGTCTCTTTAAGAGATTGACTTGTGGTAGACAGTTATTCAACCTTTTCGCTTTTCTTAGTCAAGAAAGATCAAGGTGTGCCTTGGCTTTTAAAAATAACTCTGATTTTTCAACGTCCACGACCTTATCGTAGAGAGTTGATCATGCCTAGTCACACAAATTAGCAAGCTCAAAGAAAGACTTTAATAGGTCACTCATAGGGGAAATATCTACACCCTTTCCATATATCTCATCCAGAATCACTTGGATCTCGTATCCAAGAGAAGAAACATTGTTTGCAGTAAGGTCAGAAAGCTTAGCATGAGTTTCAGCCCAAGCATCCAAGAAGAAATTCTTGCGAAGAGTCAAGATGACCTTTCTTCCATCAAAGATAGACATTGTTGGTGCTGATCGTTTGCAAAATTTAGGCCACGATTTTGCTTTATCTCCATCATGTGGAATGGAAGTCGCCTCTAGCTCTGACTTAAATGTTGGAAGTGATTTTCTCAAGTTTGGTTCTGCCACAGATTCACTACTACCTTGTGACTCGCTTTGGTGTGATACTATCAAAATGTTGATACTGTTTGACTTCTTGGAAAAGATAAACAGGTAGTGAAGTCACTTGGGTATCATGGGATAACAAGAGAGTTTTAATCATTACCTCTTTAACAATCGTCAAAGTCCTTGAAAGTTCTTGAAGCACTGCTTATGTTGCCAGTAACCTGAACTACATCCAAATCAGTGTCTCGTTGCTTGTTTGAATATGTCTTTACCCGCTTGAAGTTTTGATCTCTGTGACTGCTATTACTCTTATTTTGGGATGGTCATTTGTTGGAAGTAGGGACAATGACACCTAATGGATGGGAACCTTCATTAGTTTGATGATCCCGAACATGGAATTTTCTTTTATTGAACTTCTTTATGTGGAGGTCCCTTGATTTTGCGTGGTTCAACCACCTTAGATTTTAATATAGGGGACTTGTCTTCCTTATTGTGCTCTTGAGGTATGTCCTACAAAGGGGTAATAAAGTTTTGCCCATCATTGTACACCAAAGTTTGTAGATTATCCTCAAGAAATTTTTCATGCGCTTGTTCCCACCAAGACACATAATTTGTGGAGAGAAGCTTCTTTGCGGAAGCTCCTGTTGGGGGAAAAGTTGCCTGAGACATAGATCGATACAATGTGCAAAATCCGCCAACATTTGAGTCATTCATCCAAAAGGGCACTGCGGATATCATTCTCCAAAGAACTAGGAATATTTTGGTAAAATCCAAACTAACGCCCAAATCGATGCAGACTATAGGGCTCGATAATGAAGGAGTTACCATACCTCAAAGGGAGATAGTTAAAACGTAAGCTCATGAAGTGATTTGACTCCAATTCTGGCGTAAGATCGTTGTCCACATAATAATAAAGATGCGACTTAGTTAACATGGTTGCAGTCCAAACTATATTTTTCCCATCATGGATGTATTTTCTTGCATCAATCTTGTCAGAGTATCTCGTTACACCCTCTCCCGAGTATGCCACCATCAATGGAACAGATGGACCATTAGGTAGCGTATAGTGGGTTTTGAAGTAATAAGGAAGGCAACTGTAAACATAATGGACAAGAAAATAGACTTTGACTTGATTAAGTTGTGAAAAATATAAAATCTTATTCAAACCATTATAGATGTTTGCCAAAACTGGAACTGCAAGACTAAACTTTCATCATATTGCAATCATGCTTGCCATTTTAAAAGTCTTTGGGCGGATAAAGTCTTCTGACTTATAGGGAAATATAAAAATGCACAACCAACATGATAAGAAAGCAGCGAGATATGTGTCATCTTTCTTTTCAGATCTTACCCTAAGCTTGAAAAATACCACTTCTTCATTATTGGACCATCCAGTTGTCTTAAGTATTGCTTAAGGGTGGCAAGTGGGCTGGGCCTGTGACCGGCCCGTGACCGCGGGTCAAGTGGGCTAAATGAGTCGGGACCGGTAGGACCGCTAGTGGTGGGTTTGGGCCAGTCTCGTAGGCCGATTCTTGCCTTTGAACTGTTAGGATCGGGACCGTTTGGCCCGCCAAGGGACAGGGACCGGGATGAGTTGCCATCCCTTTGTACCTAGATTATCCAGCTAGCTTTCGGACGAGGATAAATTGCCATCCCTTTGAGCCCGAAGATTATCCCATTGATTTTTGGACAGAGATGAGTTGCCATACCTTTGCGCCCAAAGATTATTCCATTGGTTTTCGGACGAGGAAGGGTTTCCATCCCTTTGTGCCCAATTATTATCACACCGGTTTTCGGGCGGGGATAGGTACCCATCCTTTCATACCCTAAGATCGCCTTCTTCATGTGTGGATCATAACATATCTTTCTCGTTTGACCTACAAAAAGAAAAAAAAAAGAGCGACAAAAAACGAAAGACACAAGAAAAGAAGAAGAAAACTACCTTCATGCCTGCCGAGTTATCAAAAGTAGACTCATAATGCTTGTAAATACTGCAATTGATGCTGATCGAATAAATGAAGACGATTATTGGAAGATTAATGGCGATGTGGGACTAGAAGTTTGTTAGAGTCCAACAAGAATTTGGTATCCTATTTCAACTAGAAGAAAAAGTTACTAGCGGTGGAATTTGCCTACATAGAATCCAATTGAGAAGCGGACAATATTAGTTCTATCTAGTGAAGTAAGGAAAGAATATCCTAGGAATACAATGATGACATCCACGTGGATTTAGCCTAAAATACCATTATTCAAGTCTAGTACATTGAAAATGGATATACCTAGAAGTTGCATGAGACGTTTTTCATAAACACATGTACATACGGAGTTCTTTTACTTGAAGCCCAGTCTTTAAAATCCACACAAAAAGTCTTGAAGTTCGAAATTTTTGCAGGCATGCGAAATTTATTGGATTCAAATTTAATAAAGTAATTTGAATTATATTTTAAATATATTAGTCCAAATAAATATTATTGGCTAATATAATTGAATTAATTACTTAAGTCTAATAGATACTGATTCGGCTAGCCCATTTAGTTACGATACAAGTGATGAACCTACTTTATTAGGCCCAATATGTCATCTTCCTAGAGGCTCAGTTAGTTCCACGTGTCAAATGACGTGGCACACCAAGTCAAACGGAAGAGCCAATAGGATCATGCAACGTGTCAAAATGACAAGGCATGCCAAGACGAATAAAAAGGCCAATAAAACCGTGCCACATATGCAAGTGACATGTTCTGGCCAGTCAAATGCGACCTTGTCACGCTTCAATCTGATTAGTCGGGAAGAGTTTGTTCTCCTCATAACTCTTCCCTTCCACAACTATAAATAGGGGTCTTCATAACTCATAAAAGACACTAGAAATCATAACAAGAAGTAAGAGAGATCTCGTGGATCAAACACCGCAAATTTCTCTATAAGTTTCAAGCTTCAAACAACCAAGTTCAAATTCAAAAAATCAAGCTCAAGTTCAAGAACGAAGAACAAATCAAGGTTCAAGGAGTACAAATTCAAATCAAAGTTCGTGCTCGTTGAATTCGAGATCATCGTTCGTGAAAACGAGAACATATTCAAGATCAAGCTCAAAAGCCCTTGAATTTATTTACTGTTGTAAAGAAGAATCAGAGGATTCATAGATATTGTAACACTTATGTTATTTGAAATCAAATACTACGATTGTTGCAATATTTTTCGGTCTCGATTATTTCTTGACGGAGATTTATTGTCTACAACACATATTTTTATTGAGTAGAGTTGTTTAAATAAAATAAAATGGAATATAAGAATCAACTTTAAAAGTTGGAACAAGTTCAAGTGTTAATGCAGATATTAAGTTTTTTTGAGCTCCGACCTTCAATTAACCTGTTAAAAGATCTCGATATCATACAAGACTAAATTCATCGACTTTATTTATTTAATTTTAAAAGAATAACCCATTTCTCCAACTATTTTTTGGTTTGTTTGCCCTAACAGACTAAAATATCATTCAATAGTTATAAACTATTTTATTTATCATTCAATAGTCAGATTTTATTTACGAAAATTATTACTCCTATATTATAGTAGTGGAAAAGCGACCATTTTAACAGGTCCAAAATACATTTAGAGCCTATCCATATACTCCAAAATACATTTAGAGCCTATCCATATACTCCAAGTCGGCCCAAACCTAACCCGTAGCGTCTCTATTTAAATATTCCATCCGTTTCAATTTATCTGAACTTATTTTCTTTTTAGTCCGTGCCAAAAAGAATGACCTATTTTCTTATTTGAAAATAATTTACCTTAATGAAATGATTTATAGCCACACAAAATATATATAACTTATTTTATATCACAACTTCAAAAGTATCATCTTTTTCCTTGTACTCTGTTCAGTCAAATGGGTTCTTGAAACGGAGAGAGTATTAAAATTGAATAGAAAACTAGGGGGAGTTGTTTCTCTACTTCCCACTGGCACGCTTTCTATTTTCTGTCCGCACCGTTGCGGAATTTCGATCTCCAATCTCCGAGCATCTACAGTCTGATCATTCTCAGTATTTTCAACTGATCTTCAACAACAGCGACTAGTATTCTTCAACTTCCAACAACAGCGACTTCTTCTTCATCTACTTCTGATTTCTGAAAGAAATCAAGAATCTCAAATCATCAACTAGGGTTGTTCTTCTTCTTCTTCAACTTCAAGTTCAAGACTTCAAGACTTCAAGAGGTATGTTCTGAACTTCTGATTTACGTTATTCTTCTTCTTCTTCTTCTTCTTCTTCTTCTTCTTCTTCTTCTTTTTCTTCTTCTTCTTCTTCTTATTCTTTTTCTTTTTTTTCTAAACGTCCAAAAAGCAGCGAAATGCTGGCGAATTTTTTCAGAATTTTACCGCCCAATTTTTCCAGAATTTTACTGCCTAATTTTTTCAGTTATTAACAGAGAATTCCAGTGATTTTTTATATCCTTTATAGTTTATTCTTAGTTCTTATTGCCTTTCTTATGTGTTATGTAGTTGTTCTTTTAATGGCGCCAAAAGAAGATAGGAAAGATCCGGTTTGGGCTTACTCTGAAAGAGTTTGCGAGACGAACAAGATGGCAATTAGATGTCTTTTTTGTGACAAGATTTCAAATGGAGGAATCTATCGTCAAAAAGCGCATCTAATCGGCGGTGATCCAAATGTCGCATCTTGTTCTAAAGTTCCGTCGCATGTGAAGGAAGATTTGAAAGCATTCCTTCATAAAAAGAAAGAGTTAAAGACTCAACTGATTCATGAACAAGAACTGTATCCAAAATCACAAAAACGGGGAAGGATGCAACCAATGTCTTCTAGTTTTGGATCTACTGGCAAGACCAAAGGTCCTATGGATTGTTACTTCTCGCAAAAATCCGGAGATAAGGAAGAAAAAAATGGTAATCCTCAAATTGATGCCAAAACGATTTTGAGGGATCGTGCAATTATAATGTTTGCGCGGTGGATGTATGATGCAGGTCTTCTTTTTAATTGTGTTAATTATACTGACACTTTTTCTGCTTTTATTGAGGCTGTAGGCCAATATGGTCCAGGAATAAAGCCTCCAACATATCATGAAGTTAGAGGGCCATATCTAAAAAAAGAGGTAGCAGAGGTGAACAAAATCGTGGAGGAGCACAAAGTAGAATGGAACAAGTTTGGTTGTTCCATTATGATGGATAAGTGGACGGCGAGAAATGGAAAAATGATCATCAATATCTTGGTGAATTCTCCTAAGGGAAGCCTGTTTCTTGAGTCCGTTGATGCAAGCGACTCTTCGACTGATTCAACCAAAATGTACTCCTTGTTCAAGAGTACAATAGACTCTATTGGAGCAGAAAATGTTGTTCAAGTTGTCACGGACAACGCCAGTGAAAATGTTAAAGCTGGCGATTTGATGTCTGCTGGGTACCCGCATATTTATTGGACTCCGTGTGCAGCACATTCCATTAATTTGATCTTCGGTGACATTTTCAAGGAAAGACCNAAGAAAATATTGTTCAAGTTGTCACGGAAAATGCCAGTAAAAATGTTAAAGCTGGCGATTTGATGTCTGTTGGGTACCCGCATATTTATTGGATTCCGTGTGCAGCACATTCCATTAATTTGATCTTCGGTGATATTTTCAAGGAAATACCATTTAGTTCAATCTTTAATCAGGCAATTAGAGTGCATTCCTATATTTTTCAAAGGCCTTTGTTATTGAATATGATGAAGAAATTCACTAAACAAAGAAGCTTGGTGAAACCCGCAAAGACAAGATTTGCTACTGCTTTCTTGACTTTGCATAGGATGTATGAGCAAAAAAGCAATTTGAAGAAGTTGTTTGTTTCAGATGAGTACACTAATAGTGCCTATGGAAGGGAAGCTCGAGGGAGAGAATCTGCAGATATTATACTTTCTCCTTCATTCTGGAACAATGTGGTTCATGCATTGAAGATTGGTGGTCCTTTAGTTAAAGTGCTTCGTTTGGTGGATGAGGAGCAAATGCCACCAATGGGCTACCTATACGAAGCAATGGATAGGGCAAAAGAGGCTATTCAAGTCTCGTTTAGTGATCAAGGAAAATACAAAAGAGTCTTTGAGATCATAGATAAAAGGTGGGATAGTAAGCTTCATAGCCCTTTGCATGCAGCTGGACTTGTTTTGAACCCGGAACTGTTTTATGACAATGAAGAAAGGATTCTAGGAGATGAACCTTTGTTGAATGGATACTATGAATGTATTGAGAAGTTGATACCTGAAGAATCTGTGCAAGATAAAATAACAGAGCAATTTAGTATTTATAGGAATGTTGAGCAACTTTTTGGAAAAAACATGGCGATTAGACAAAGAAAGACGAAGTCACCAGGTGAGCGAGTGCTTATATGTTGTTTTATAGTTAATAAGTTATTTCTTTATAAATATTATGTTTTGAAAATTTGTTCTACTTCTACAGTTGAATGGTGGAAGCAATATGGCCATTTCACTCCGGATTTACAAAAGTTTTCCATCAAGGTTCTAAGTCTAACATGTAGCTCATCCGGGTGTGAAAGGAATTGGAGCGTGTTTGAACATGTAAGAACTAAGAAGAAAGATTTAGTATATTGAGATAATTAAATTATATCTCAATTGTCCTAAACTTACTAATTACTTATTATTTGCAGATTCATACCAAAAAAAGGAACAAACTAACCTTGAAGCGTCTCAATGATCTAGTATTCATTAAGTACAATAGAACATTGAGGCGTCGTTACAACGCTCGCAATGTAATTGATCCAATTAGTTTGGACAACATCGATGATGCTAATTAATGGCTAACTGGAGTCCCGGAAGATCATGCAGATGAAGAAGTATTTGAGGAAACTTCTGATTTCACTTGGGGTGATGTTGCGGAGGCGCGTGGAATTGGGGAGAGGATTTATGGTTTGAGGGGGAGTACCTCAACTTCAAGTTCACAGAGGAAGGGAAAAGAGGCAGCTAGTTTGTCCCTAGTTGATGAAGAAGAAGAAGTTGAAGAAGATGACGAGCAATATAATAATGATAGTGGAATACAAGAATTTGACAATCTTGTAGAAGAATAAGATGCTCATTTTGTGTTTTAATTGATGCTACTATTTAGTTTTTACATTGAAGTATTGAACATTTGCTTACAATTACATGTGTTGTCTATGCAATATTTATTTTTTATTTTTTTTTTATAAATTTCGCTTCACTTCAAAAAAGCGAGCGCTTCGCTTCTCGCTTCTCGCTTTAAGCGAAATGGGGTTTGTCGCTTTTTCTCGCTTCACGCTCTTCACAACACTGGTTGGACCCTAATATTATTACTCAAGCTTCATCCCAGAGTAAATTTTCTCCCTTGTGACCTCTCAAAATAAAAATAAAAAATTCTCCCTTGTGTGCGCTGAACTGATACTTCTCTGCTCTGCTTATGCTGTGACTACGAGTGACTCATTTTCAAGACACTGTTTGCTAGTCTATGTGGTTTTTATTATGTTCTTGGATTCTTTTTTCCTAAGTCCTTTTCTATGTTTATTTATTTTATTTATTTATCACTATATTCATACCTATCAAAAAAAGAAGTTTGTTACTATGTTTATCGGAGGTTTTATATGCAGAAGATTTTTATTTCAAATTTGTTTTTGGGATTTTGATGGCGAAAGAGAACTGAAGACTATAGATGCCATTAAAGGGCAACACCACACCATAATTTCTTATTAAATTCATGGTTTTCTAATGGCATAACGATAAGGAGCCTCCAATCACATTCTCAACTCTCAAGCAGTTGGGCTAGCCTTTTGTCTTGTGTAAATAACTAATGTTTATTTTCTATGGTGTGTATATATATATATATATATATATATATATATATATATATATATATATATATATATATATNGATTATCTTTTTGTTTTGATAATGAAAATTGGGTTTTTGTGCTTAAAGCATTGGTAGATCTTGACGTATTTCTAAGTTTTTCGTGTTTGACAAGTCTGAGGACTAGTGTTTGTGTTGTATGCGATTTGAGGGCAACCTAGGAAAGAGTAGTTTCTGCAGAAAACTGAAAAACTATTTTCAAGTGCACTGTCATCTACTGATATATTTGTATATTTGGTTGTTGATTGGTGTTATAGTGTGATTTAGCAGACAGCTGGACAACTAGTTGGTTTCTTTCTTTTGATTATTACCTTCATTGATCAACCTTTGAGTTTTGCAATTAGTCTTCCTGTTAATTGTTTTTTTCTGGGACATGTCTTCTATGTTGACAGTGTGGTCTAGGTGATGCTTTCCGTTGCAGTACGTGTCCTTATAAGGGTCTTCCTCCATTCAAACTAGGCGAAAAGGTACATGGCAAGAACAAGTTATTCCCCTCTATTTCNCTTCCTGTTAATTGTTTTTTTCTGGGACATGTCTTCTATGTTGACAGTGTGGTCTAGGTGATGCTTTCCGTTGCAGTACGTGTCCTTATAAGGGTCTTCCTCCATTCAAACTAGGCGAAAAGGTACATGTCAAGAACAAGTTATTCCCCTCTATTTTTCTATTTCCTTCTCTGAGGTTTCATTATGCAGGAATAAATATACATTTATATGTTCCTTACTTACCTAAGGAAAAAGATTGCAGTATACATGAAGATGATGTGTACTGACATTTTGTTGTAATGATGCCAGTATTTATGGTGAACATGAAAGTGAAACCTTTGATTATTGACCAAAATCTGATTGCCTCTTTGAAGCTTTTGTCTCACCAATCATTTATTTATGGAAATAATGCATTTAGATGACAAGCAACGGAGTTGTGATTCTACTCTTTGTTAGAATCCTGAATAAGAGGAGGGTAGTATGAACTGGTTTATGATTGGCATCTCAAGTATTCTTTTTTTTTTTTTTTTGAAAATAATTTGACTAGAAGTTCTGATTTGTTACTTTGCTTTGTTTGGATCTCACGTGTGGCTGTCTTAGAATATGAAGAGACCTAGTTGACCTGTTTTAAAACTGATGGTGGATCCTAAATATAGGACTATATTTATGTAAGGCTTTGAAGTGATGTTAAATCTCATCGGGTTTTGCTTGTTGGTGGTTAAGAATAATAACTTATGTAAAGAAAAAGTTCTTTTGGTATTGAGTTTTGAATAAAATTCAATATACATTATAAAAAGAAGGATTAATGGGAGTATAAAAATTCAATATACATTCAAGTTCTTTTGTTTTTTTGTGTTTTGTGAAATGGGAAACCATTTAATCCAACGCGATCAGTTATGGCTGTTGCACTTGATGTTGTTCTTCACTGAGCATAATGATTCCTGGGGAGTCCTAGTCTCTGGTTGATTTCATTATTATATTCTTGTTTGCAATGGATGTGTGATAAATTCCAATTGAGTATGACACCTCTCTCACTGCTTTGGTAGGTAACGCTTTCTGGGAATTTTCTTGATGCTGACATCTAATTGCAGATGATAACAGTCAGATATGAGATTGTTCATTTTGGTTGAGGTGAGATAAGTGAATGTGTAATATGGACTCTTGAAGAAGTGAGGGAAATAGCAGTGGACTGTGAACTACTGTTAAGACTTGGATTTGTTGCTTGATTGGAAAGAAAATGATGAACGCCAGGAGGATTGGTGATCTCGAATGTGAAAGGGTAGAGTTTATGAGTTATGACTCGCAATTCTTAGCACTATGCGTTTGCTCGCTTGATTTGCCATCATTTTGTTTGGCTTCGAGGTGTAACTTTTTTTGGTTGGATTGAATTAATTTTGATTCATCGACATCAATTTGGACAGTTGAAGAAAATTTCAACTTGTAAATCACTTCGCACTATTTGGTATGCAAAATCAGAAAACATTTTCGAAGTGAAAAATTTGAGAGCAGTATCCATTCAGAACTCTTTTGGTAGGAGAAAAAGATGCTACATATCCATAGAATTTCGACGAAAGAGGCAACATGATTGATGCTACAGTACCCTACAAATACTGCTATATTAACTATATTTCGCTGAAGCGTTTAACATTTTTCATTTTCTCTGTAAAAATCATTTTGATTCCCTAAGTTTGCATTAAAAATCAAATTACTCCTCCAACATTAAACAATAAATATTCTGCTCCCTTATCATATGCATTGTCTATTTTACCCTTGGCCTTTTTAATTCCTCCTCTATGCACATAATTTTTTTTATTATATTTAAATTGGTAAAACACTTAGCTAAATATCTAAATTATGAAATTTATAATTAAAGCTCAATAAAATTTAACTAGAATAGTACTTTTATGAATTTATAACAAAATTTATCGTTAATATTTTTTATTGTTACTTTAATATTAAGTATATATTTAAGTTTTACTTTCTCTTTTATTCTTTATTACACACACATACATATATTTTTTTAATTAACGAAATATATTTTAAGTTGCAATTTAAAGAACATTCAAGTTATAAATATGTAATCTTTTAGGATTTTTAAGACGTAGTTGAGCAAACAGATATTCACCAATCTGCAATATGAGAATTGCCAGTATTTGTGTTTTCATCAATTGATTTTTGAGTTAAAACGGAGTATCGACCTCATTCAAAAGGTGGAGAAGGGGCTACGATTAATGTTGAGCATAAGTTGGTTAAAGCCGCCAACAACACACACGAACACTGACTACGGGTTCAACTGAACTCATAACTTTCGACGTGAATTAAAATTATAAAAATAATAGATATGAACCCATAACTTTAAAACTATAATGAGTTAAATATTAAAAACCTTAAAATTAAACCGATAAGATTTAAATCCTGGATGACAACACATACACCCTTACTCCTGAGATTTTACTCTTTCAATACTTTGTGTATTTTTTAAAGAGTCAGGCAATGCCCCCTTTCCTGTCTCCAAGTGTATTATCAACTGATTCTCTTATCTCACCCAAACAATAATGTATATTTTTGAACTGGCTTCAGTAGATAATTCAGATTTTAAAAAAAAATAATTCTGCAATCTCATAAAAAACTATAAATATATTGGAGAGAGCTACGTATCAATAATAAAGTAGTTTAAATTCCAGCTAGTTCTGCCAATGCTTGCTAGTTACGATGTTCCCATCGTCTCTAATAGTATAAAATTACTGGAGAGGCCTAGGTAAAAAATTTGACATTTATATTTAATTAATAATAGTGTCAAATGAAAAATTACTGTATAAATGTGTTTTAAGGCCCACTAACTCTGGGCCTAAGCGTAAATTATTGTTATAGTGGGTTAACCGGGTTCGTACTCGACTTCAGCCCTACATTTCTTGGCAGGTCTTTTCCATTTTTGCTCCTCTGCATCTCTTCGGTCAGTGTATATTCCTCTCTCGCAAAGATTTCACTATCCCTCCTTCAGATATTAGACAACAATCCCTTATTACTAAACTGGTTTTGTTATTTTGGTAGGAAGAAGTTTCATATTATTGCAGGCAAGATGAAAGTTATACGCAGTGTCTTA